CACTCTTTCATTCATTTTTTATCACAAACAGAATGGAAAAAAACACCATTCAAAATCACAAAATCCACCATCCAAATCGCAAAGTCATAGGAGGTAAACGAGAAAGCTACACATCTCAAAATCCACAATATTCTAACCCTAAGTCGCAAATGAGAAAGCAACAAATTGCAATGAAATAACCATTCCATCAAAATTGAGCACAAGAAATACATACAAAGCACAATAACTGTAGAAGTGTGAGAGAGGCACGAGAGATGTACCTAGGGCAGAAGAAATGCAATCGAGAGGGGCGGGCGATCGAGAGAGGAACCTAGGGCAGAAGAAACGTGAGGGAGCCACGGATGAAACACGTGAAGGGCAAAAAGATTAAAATCACGAAGAAACAACAGGCAGCGAGGTCGATCCCGCGACCCACATTTAACATAGCTTATTAGGATAAGCCACCCCGCCGCACTTTCTAAACAAGTGCATCTGCGCTTTCAAACAACACCGCACCAAAAAAGCTGCCCTAAACTGGCCCTAAGTGATCACACTGGCACTTGGGAAATAAAACACTACCTACAAGATTGCTTCATCAACGAAGATGTGAGACAATTATTTTCTTAGTCTTAAATTTGCTTACAATAAAAATAGGGTTTATCACTATCTCTAAGAAAGTACTCTACTGATCTTGGCGAAATGGCTCTTATTAATTGCAAGTAGGTTAATATCCTCATGGGCTGTTAGAACTCATCTAATTATTTAGACGGTCCATCATAATATTAAAAGTTACTATGTTAATATATATCGCATGTATATCAAAAAAGCATTGGTATATGCTAATATGTAGTGCTTGAATATTGAAATTTTCTATAATATTGATCATCTTGTCTTTGTTGATGATAGGAAGTCCACTTCAAGATATTATATTTTTGTTGGAAATAACCTAGCTATCTGAAAACTAAAAAATAAATTGTTGTAGTCAAAATCAATGTAGAAGTTGAATACATAGCTGTGATTCATTCATTATGTAGTTTGGCTTTACTGCTACTCAGCTTATGATTTTATAGCGTGGCAATTGTGCCATTTTGTATGTTGCGATCCATTCTATTTATCATAAACAAATTAATTTCGGAAAATATTTGCTCGTTCTCTTATAATTGTCTATTCTCAACTATATCCAGCAAATAATTGCACCAAAGTTTTTTCTCTCAGCAATTCCTCTTCCATCATCCTTCTAATTTATCCTTAGTTCCTGTCAGTAACTGTAACAGCTAATTGAAATATTCTCCTTTTTTAACCAGCTTCAGTTTGTTAGACATGGTTCCATCAGCTGCACTCCAATAAAGCAACGACGTCGAGGTCAAGAAAGAAAGCCAGAATGGCGAAGAAAGTTTGTTCACACCAATTCTTCTTTCTAATTGCACATTCAACCTTTATTTCTCTCTCTTTCAGTGCTTTTTGGTTCTTGCTGAATCCTCTAGTCTTGATCTCCCAGGTCATGGTCGGGAGAAGAACTTAATTTTGAGTTTGAGGAGTCTGCAACAGATAACAGAAGTGGAGAGCTGATTCCAGCCATTAATGAGGATACCAACCAATCCACTGTGGAATGGGTAGCCATGGATGGTGGGGAAGATGAAGATTTTGCCATAAAGAATCACTGGCAGTTCAAGCTCTCTCGTTACTTGAAAGGTTTCTTGTGCTACTCCAATTTCATATACACGACGAGAGATAGGTAAGAATATGGGAGTCTGAAAATTTTACTGTTTCTAGAATTCAATGAATTTTTACGCTTTACTCTTTTATGCCATGCATTAGCTTTGTTTGTTTCACCACCATTTTTATAATGCTTTTATTTTTTGTCTGTTATTTCATTTACCCTTCAGAATAGCACTTGACTGATATAAAACTATGCCATTGGTTCATACTGTAATTACACCCACAGCGAGTTGCCAAAACTATTGAGAGAAAATTTTTAAGCTATTATGATTTCAGAGTCTGAAGAATATATATGAATGATTTACTGATTGTAAGGAAAACTAAAAACAATCCAAGGATGGCACAGGCACCTGCAAAGAAGAAAGCTTTTTGAGATGTACTGGAGAGACATTGATTCTTATTATGAATATTATAATTACTGAGTCTTAATGTAATGCAGTTGTGCACTCTTAATCATGGCATCACTGTTTTGTAACCTTTAATTATACTTTTATTTGCATTTCATGTCATTATCATTTTGTTTTATTTTCTCGCAGCAGTTTTAGTATGCTATTAGATGTAGTGTTTTTTTTTTTTTTTTGATAATTTTGCTTTGTACTGAACCTTCTCATTAAAAATAGCAGGAAACATTATGATTTCGCAGCATAATGCAGATGTGCACCCTTAATCATGATTGAAATGTTGTTTTAAGTTAGTCGAGCGTCGATATGCTTAGGGGGACTAATATGGCTAAACTATAACACATTGGGTTCAATCAAAGGCATGATGTTTATCTAATAAAAATTAGAGGTGTTAGTGCACGAATGCTTTCATTAAAAAATATTGGCATAGCTAGTGTAACTGTCAATGACAAACAGGTCTTATAATTTTGCCTTATAGATGAGGTATTCATGTGTCAAATTAATTAATTAATTTTATTTTATTTTATTATTATTATTTATATCGAAGCAATTTTTGGATGGGAGACTAGGGTTTACAACTTTCAGGTTGAAGATGGCTCAATTCATTTGTGTTGGATTATTTAGTGCAAGTTAGGTGCAAGGTTAGGGCTTATAATTCTTGTAGTAGATATGTGTATGATTTGGTCGATAATCTCCCATATAAAGGTCAACCTGATGATGAGGTTTATAATCATGACATATATTTAAAATGATTGATGCATAAATGTTGATTTGAGTGTAAGAATTATGGCTTTGTTATAAAAGGTGGATTAGAAATGGAGGCGCATTTTAATAGTTGGTTACAACATGGTGCGATAGAAGAAACATCACCTATGATATAGGTGATGATTAGGATATTTTATACTGATTAAAAAAATTAACTATGAAGTATGAAAAATTCCTTCATGAGCTTATTGCTAGGTCTTATAATCATACCTTATAGATGAGGCAACATGAGTCTATCCATGTGTCAAATAACTTATTTTGTAATATTTGGATGAGAGGCTAAGGTTTGTGATTCTACTGATGAAAATGCTTAGAGTTGTGACTTATGACCTCTTTAAGCGTAGGGTGATTTCACAGTAGGTCTTTTAGGTCCCTCATACTGAGATCATGTGTTCTAATTAACATGTCAAAAAACCTTTATGCTCTGCAATTCATGGTAGATATTTTAACCTCATCGGTCTCATAGCAGGTATTATTAGTCCTTTAATTGTCTCATAATTGGTCTTATAACTTAGCTACATAAATGAGGCAACATAAATCCTTCATGCTCAAGTGGTTGTGTACAAATTATAATCTCGAATCCAAAGATATTTGATGATAAGATCTTATGTCTTTATCTTCTATGCAATATGACTCAATTTATTTGCGTGTTGGATTATTTAGTACAAGTTAAATGAGTGTTAGGGTTTATAACTCTCGTAGCGGATATGTGTATGATTTGGTGGACAACCTCCCATATAGATGTTAGCCCGGTGATGAGTTTTATAATAATGCATATATTTATATGATTGATGAATAAATTTTAGTTTTAGTGTTTGAATTGTAGTGTCATTACAAAAGGTGGACTGAAATTGAGGCGCATTTGATTACAATTTGTAGCAATAGAAGGAATGAAACCTAAAAGATGAGTAACGATTAGGATGTTTTCTATTGATTAAAACATAATTATGATGTAAAATATATCGCTAGTTACATTGCATAAAGGGTTGATTTAGTCTTTTGAAAATAATGATTACTAGTTTTATAAGACAATATTTTTAAAATTGATTAATAATACTAGAATTTTCTTAGTTTTATTAATTGTTCAAATGATAAAAAATATTACATATAATAATAGTTTGTTTATTTTAAAAATAATGTCATTATTAATATCGGTGTTAATATTTGATTTTTTGTTTATATTTGTATTAATTATCATTAAATAAAATAATCGATTAGTGTATTATCAGATCTTGTCTCTTAATTAGAGAAGATTTTCCATCAGCACCTCTCTATCTCTCTCTCTCTCACACACACACACACATTCTTCTCAACATCCTCTCTTTTTTTGTTTGTTTGGCTCTTTCTCACTCTTGGCTGGCTTCTATGCTGAACAATTATATTTTGGTCTTTTGCTTTCAACTGGTTTGTGCTCTTACTCTTAGATAATTCAGTATTGCCTTCATGGAGCTTTTCATAGAGACCATTGTATTGTCTGAGATCACTCCATCCCTCTGGATCCTTTTTTGGCTTTCCTTTTGGTGATTTTGTTTTGTTTGTTTGTTAGTTTGTAATTTACTATTACTTACTCTTAGGGCCACACGTTCTTTTGTTAATGAGTCCTGATTCTTTATTTTTATCTTTAAATTTTTATATTAAGTTTTGCTAGGTGTGGCTCTCAATTTTCCAAAGAAAAAAAAAAAATTCCCTCCCTCTGAACTATTAAAAGCTACACGTTGCAATGCCAACACATTCACCCGCTGCACGGGCTCGTTGACTTAGCTTGGCTCGCTCGTGTTCGGCACATAAACAACTCGTTAACTTAGCTTGGCTCGCTCGTGTTCGGCTCGTTTACACCCCTAATTGAAGATTAAAAAATGTATACTAAAATAAAGTTATGAAATATTTTTCTTAATCTTATTCTCCACCTTTAGAGGACCAAAAATCTTTATGAATTACCCAATGTTTTTAAATGCACATTTAGTTGTATATTGGTGCTAGGTGGGCGGATTAATATGATTAAGATTACTACCATGTTATTATAATTTTTTTTATTTTAAGCTAATTTTTGTGACCTTATAGAGTAATAAATCAGTGATTGATAAATTACTAACACTTCAACAATTAGTAAGATTTGAATGAAGTTATTAACATCTTAATATTTATTTATGTTATTTGAACATTGAAACTAATGTTAATTATTGAATCATCAAAATAATCATCAAATGTTATTATAGTTTAATGTAATTTCAATCATGTTTATTGCAATTTTATTAATTCTTCTCTTATGTTAGGCTACAACTAAATTATAAATTAACGAATATTACTAAAAACATATTTTATATTTGTAGCCTTCTATAAGGAGTTGGTTACAATTTATTCAAGGTCATTAAAATTGAAATTTTATAAATTTTAACAATGCATATTTTCTTTTTTGGGAACTAGAAAATTTTTAATTGTGTAATGCAATCAAATTTATATGAAAAATGTAATAATCTTTTTCTTAAGTAGGGCTGTCAAAACGGCTCGTTGTTCGCGAACTGTTCGTGCTCGATTCGTTAAGAAGCTCCTATTCGGCTCATTCGCTAAGTTAACGAGCCGAATACAAACAACATGAACAAATATTTGTTCGTTTGTGTTTAACTCGTTTTGACTCGAAATACTATTGATCAATTATATGTATATCTTTGATGAGTAGTATTTTTTAAAAAATTAATTGACTACAAAGCTACAAAGATTTATAATCAATTAAAAGTATTAATGAAGAAAATAGAATAAGAAAATATTAAATTAGATTTAAATGATGTTTTAAATCTTGCCCCAATCCTTAACATCTTATGGCTACGTGATTAGGGTTGTCAAAACGACTCATTGTTCGTGAATAGCTAGTGTTGGGCTCGCTAAGCAAACGACCCAAACAAGAACACATTTTTTGAGCTCGAAATATAAACGAGGCGAACACGAGGCTCGTTTACACCCCTATTCTTAAGATTCAAAATAATTATATATATATATATATATATATATATAAGCTATAGATTTTTAGCATTTATTAATAATTAGTGGTCTCCAATACAATTTGATGCAACCACTTAAAATCTAATTAAATCAATAGAACTTTCATTTCGGCATTTTTTGGACTGCTTAGCCCATGTTTAATTAGCCTTGTTTGGTCCACAAATCCCAGCTAGGGCTACTTCTAACATAAGAGCGGCTTAACAGCTTTTCAAACCTGGGGCATGTGGGCCCAGCCACCCTCCTCATAAATAGGAGCGTCAGCTAGCCCCACGTAGCCATCAGATTTTTATCTAATAACTAAAATTCATAGGCATCCAAATCATAATGTAAACCAAACAATCATATAATTTTATCATGAAAAATAATACTTAATTTTAAAAAAGCGATCATATGGCTTTGACTTTTATGTAGCCAATGCATGTGGTCTGTTCCATATGCTCACAATAGCACTTAATTTCACCAATAAATGCTTCCAATATCTATGTTTTAGCAATGTGAAGCTCTATAATCATTCAAACATTTGGTCTTTCGGCAAAGACCTATATCATAACTTTCACATTGTAGGCAAGATATAAAGCACTTTGTAGCACAATAGCCTCATCCAACCATGCTACACGAGCCTAGCAAAATTGCCCATTCATTATTGCAATTTCCTCCTTTTTAAAAGATTGAAGAAAATAAACAATTAATGTTATGCCACAAAGGATATTTGAAGTACAAAGAATATGTGAGCTTGGATAGGTAATTTAATAAATGAAATTAAATGGATGTAATAAAAATGGAATTAAGCATGTGGGGGTGGAAGGGTTAGAGCTCCTATGTTTGGCTAAAAGAATATCACAGTAGTTATTTGGTCCAAAGTTTAAGAAGATGTGGTTTGGGGAATTTAGAGAATAAGCGGACTATTTGATCATAGGGTTTCACTTTCAAACTCTTAAAGACTGTTGATTTTGTTGATGTTCTGATTCTGCTAAATTCATTAACAAAGTTTCCTTCTTGATATGTAAGACTTGCTCAACATGCATGTGTATATATATATATATACACATATATACATATACACATATATATATATACATATACACATATATATATACATACACACATATATACATATATATATATATATATA